TATATGTATCTGCTATGTCACGCTATAATAAAACAGATTCAAAGTATGCATTAACTAAAACAATGTAACTGTTAAGACAAGTGACGAAACTGACCTAAAAATATTTCCTTCCCGATTTCTTGGGATACTTTGCACCTTCGTACGTTCCAACAGCAGTCGGACAACTTTCCACCACTGGTAATGCTTTCTCATTTGTCTTGGTGGAACCCATAATGGACTCGATATCCATACAAAAATTCCGACATTTTCTTTGGAGAAATATTTTGAGAATAAAAACTATTTGGCGATCACGAAAAACTGGGGAAAAGAAGGGGAAACAGGGAAAAATACGATTTCATCCTTTAAGTTCCACAGGTAAAATCTTAGACTCTTGCTTCGACACATTGAACAAGTTTGTTGAGATCCCCTTAAGACCAAAATGCGGTTCATTTGAGTGAAAGGAAGCTTGGAATGTTGGGTCAGCGTGGATGTGTCCATCTCTCCGACTTAGTCGTCTAAATGTTCGTCCCTGCGGCAAACATCTTCCCTCACTGGCATTCTCACGACGACATACAGGCCTTACAGCAGGGAGTATACTCGTATTAGGATATTTCACAGTTTTCTTCATTTTTGAGGTGATTAAGAGTTATTAATAACAGTATGTTGTGAGATTCGTAGGTCCCCTTCAAAACATAGGAACAGTAAAGGGCATGTGTCGTGTACCTTTTAACCAGCATGTCAGGAGTATAACACATGGGACACGGCATTTATATTTATAAGAACCCATTTCAGGTCCTGGTCGCCAACCTTACGCCCGATATAAAAGTTCGTGACACTTCCTTATCAGAGCATTAAGGTTCAGATTACAAAATAAATTTGGGCCATTAACAAGTTTCGAGGCTTTCTTCTAAATTAATACAAAGCACAGACCTTCTCGAATCTAGAACAACACGCAGACACATCCAAGCACTTTCCATGCTGTCAGATGTCTCAATTAGGGTTGCCAGATTGGGTGGAATTCCGCTTTTGGGGATGGAAAACGGCTGTCTCTCGCGGGACAAAAATTGATTTCGCGTAATATCGCCCAACGGGCTCAAATGCATCAAAACATGTGCGATTTTGAGCATGTTTTCAGATTACGACGAAATTCTCAAAAACAACCACAACGGCGTTATCAGTGAGTTTGAATATAGGTGTTGTGGTGCGTTATCGTTGGCATTTTTCATGAAATAATTATAGACGATGTCATTGCCAACTACTATTGTTGGCTATGACAACGTTTATAATTATTTCAGTGAGTTTGAATTTTTAGTTATAGTTAGTGGATAAATTATTTTATCCCCGAAAGTATTATTCATATCTGCTAAGTCATAAGAATAGTGATAACTAATTTTTAAATATTAAGATATAAATCATTACAAAAAGTATAAGTTTGACATAAATATTATTATTAACTAGTTGGTACCCAGCACAGTGCTGCCGCAGAAGAAATAATTTTGGAAATATTCCTCTCGCCTTCTCTTTCCCTCACTATCTTTCCCCTCTCTCTCTTTCCTCTTTTAATTCCCCATCTCCCACATCCCCCATTTCCTGTCTCTCTGTTCTTCCGTTCTCTGGCTCTTTTGCCACTCTCTCTGTCCCCCCCGCCCCGCCACCCACTGGGCCTGGACACGTGCGCGCCGGTGCCAGTGCGGTAACCGGCCACACCGTGAGTACTGTCATGTGGCAACAGCAAGTGCATCAAGAAGCCAATGATTTCTCGAGACACGAATCGGAGACTCTCAAAACCAAGAAGAAGAGGTTTTATTGGCGCACTACGTTCATTTCATCATATTACTCTGCAGCTCCTCCCTCCCTAGTCCTATCAAATTGCATCTCCACATCTCTAACCGCCCGACTTTTGGACTCTAAGGACTTCCGTCAATATCGGTTCATAGCCCCCTTCATTGCTCGACGACTGCCATTAAAATTCCCACAACTGCCAGTCGATCGTACACACACACACACACACACACACACACACACACACACACACACACACACACACACACAGGTCCAGATCACCAGAACACACTCCAGCCCTAAGGAATTGCCTTAACTCTCGTCGCCTTTGCTGTTGTTTACGAGTAAGGTTACGAACAAATATTTAGGGGCAATGCAACTCGCAACACACACTATGCTACAACACGTTACCATTGCGCGTCACTCAGAAACGGTCAATCTTAGGCCCTGTTTTCGGGCCTCGTCCGAGTTATGTTTTTAAGTCATAATATAAAACTAAAGATTCTGAAATTCTGCGATCTGGATTCTCAAAATTATCTTAATTTTAAATAACCGTTACATAGGCCTAAGTGTTCTCTTATGATGCACCAAAATTACTTACACGTTATAATTATGACTCACAAATTTAGCACTGTATTATCTACTCATACATTATTAAAAAATAACGTTTCTTATTATCCACGGTGAATGTAGTATGTAATTTTGCAGGATATGACACCATGAAAACAATTACAACAGATACCTAATCAATGGGCGACCTTGTTTACAAACGCAAAGCGTTTATTTGAGATAATAAAAACTAGTAATGCCGTGCAATTTTAGTTCCACGAATTTCCGGTAGAGATAAAAATGTCAATTGCTATCAGGTATCCCGATCACTTGGCTACCAACCAGTCTGGAAAATAAAGCCGCTACTATCCACGGAAAATGCCTATTTGTACTTGCGGAATTTTCGGAAGAGATACAAATGTCATGCACTAAAGAGGCCTCCAATTCATTGCCATCAATCAATCTGCAAAATCATGCCGCTAGTCTCCAGGAAATCTTTTCTTGGCTTTTTTGCTTTGGATTTTTTTAAAGGTAATAATTAAGTATAATAAATCGAGGTTGGGGTAACTGCCTATTAGGTGAGTAAATGTACATTTACCAAACACTGGCACACAATCAGCATGCACCCTAAACAGGGTCCTAAGAACGCTAGAAAACAGGTCGAAAACCGCAATCGAAATAGCCGTCTGCATCCAGAAGCAATAATTACATCTATTAATGTTCCGGGCACGACCATAGCTACGAGTATGATCGTAGTGTAGTTAGTGCTTTATGCCTAGAGGAGGCGCCGTTCCTCGTCGATGGATGACGAGATTCTGCACCGACATACACGTCGGCCTGAGGGGAATTCCCTCTCCTGCAAGATAAGATCCCGCATGGTCCGTGGCCGATGTTAGATTTTGCTGCGGCATTCGCCTGGTATTGACAAACCAGAGCAGCCAATCGCTATAATTCTCCCCTAGACAGCGGCTGAATTCAGCCTAGCTATGTAGTCTCGAAACTCCGCCCCCGCGCCGGTAGGACTGGAAACCTTGCTGACCTCCCGGTCATTCTCTGCAGAAACGAAGTTGGCGTGGCTCTAGCCTATGCCAACTCACTCGTTTACTACATCTATCATATAAGTGAAAATACGAATGTATGTAATGTACTTGTGTAAGTATAGTTGTCTTCCACAAAAACTTTTAAACTATTGGAGCGGTTGCTTTCAAAAAATTGCACAAAAAATATTTTCCAGTGGTAGAGAATAAACGGGGAGAGGGTGCGATTCAAAATTGTATACACAAATTTATTGGGGCTGTAAATAAATACTGCATCTGTAGGTAGCGTTGCTTAGCGGTGACCGGGAGTCGGGACCGGGCAGGGTCGGAAGTGGATAAAAACAGCGGGAGGTTGAGGAGAGGTGTGGAGAGAGCGGACGAGGGAGAAGGGCGGACGGAATAAGAAAGTATGCTGAACGTCGAGGGAAGAGGGCTAAAGCGGGCGGGATCGACAAGGCTACTAGATTGTAGTAAATGAACAACGTGGATCCATCCGCTGGGCCACTTATGAGTGAAGGTCCAATTGAAATCGGTTGTCGACCCTGGTATTGGCCCGGGCAAAAATAATTGTAAAAATTATTGCATGGATTTTATATTACCTATGTAAATAACCACATGATCTTATAAAAATATGCGGGCTAAATAGCTTACTGTTCAGCTATATCAATTCACATATATGCATTTTGTGTATTTGTGTTTTGAAATGTAAGAAATAACATTTTATTATTGGAAGATACAAGTATGCCTAGAATTCTACTAATTGTAAAAAGAATGAATAAAGACAGGTTTGACTACCGTAAAAGTAAAAACCACCTTCTTAAGTTTCTCAGACAAGAGAAATCTTTAAGAAAATGTTGTTTCGTAAATGGTGTTTTTCAGCCTAGAAATGTTTGGCAAAAGAAAGGCTACTTCGCATATTGTATTTAGATTAACGCAATTATTAACTAGTAAATTCAATATTTAGTCAAATGTACACATTAGCTTCCGCGCCTCGAGTTCATGACTTCTTGGCTGCTCAAATGACGCCACGTCGTTGGCGGAGAGGCCGACGTATAGCCTCTCATGTCGCAGGCTTCTACTACTACCCTGAGGAAGCCTGCGACATGACAGGAGAAACGTCGGTTCTCAGCCAATGATGCAGCGTCATTCGGACAGTCAAGACGTCAAATTCAATCCTTCAAGGACGTATCTTTTGTTTCTGCAAAACGCCGTGATGCCGGCAACGTGTTCCCTTGTGAATGGGTTTTCACGCTTGCAATTCGCATTCTCATTCACCAAGAAAAGTTATTAAATAATAAAAACAGAAACCATGAATTAATTTATTGTATTCAAGAAAAAACATTTCAATCATAAGTTTTGTCTCGGGTGCTTTATGATTTAATTTCATCGTTACGTAAACAGTTGATTTTCGCTTATAATTATGATGATTAAAAAACGTAATGGTCGTTCCTTTTTTTACCGAAAATTAAATACTTTTTCATAACTTTTCTTTGACGAAAACGCAACGTGAAGGAATTTTTTATTTTAAAAAATAATGGTAAAAATACAACAATATTATATTCTGTAATATAACATAGAATATTAGCTAAAAGAAAGTACCCATCATTTCCAACTACGAGATGAGAGTACTTTATAAATAAAACGATTCTTTCGCAGAAGTAATATTTTCGTTCATCTTCCCGCGGTATTACGTGAAGGAATTCAGTGGATGGAGGAATTTAAGGAATTCAGGTGTGGTTGTGGTAACACTGAAAGCGTCGTTAACGCTCGTCGATTGTTTACTGTTTTGCTGTGTCTTGATAGATTCCTCCGGAGCCCGGAATCTCATCTGAAAGTCACGAAGTAAGCGTATATTATTATATGACCTAAGTGTTTATTCAGGTTTGATTTTTTATTGTTTGGTATGTCTGACATTATCTCAGTGCGGGAAAATGGTCCTCTTTAATGAAAATTGAATTTTTCATCCAATATTTGGAAAAACTTGTGAACATGTCGGAAGTGCGAAAGAGACATTTGGATGTCACCGACACCTCTGACAAAACGAACGAAACTGAAAGCGATCAGGTAAGACTCGCATCATCTTCTCTGAAGAGAAGAGGGATACATTAAAAAAACAACAGAATGTTATGTTGATGAATTTGTAATTGGATCTGTCAAATATTTGTTATGTAACTGCTATATCTTGGAGTATATTAGTGCTTGTTCACTGTGCTAGGTAATAAATTATTCATGTTTGTAATGATGGAATAAACTGAGCAAGTTAACCAAAGAATAACCCTAATTAAATAAAAGTTTTTGTAAACATTTCAATGTGTATTTTGGTACACAAAATTAATCTGTAATAGTACTCTGCTTATTTTTTGTAGCCATTTTACAAATACTGTTCAGAAAAACTTTTAATTAAAAATAAAACAGTAATATCACATCTACATTTACATTCAATTAAAGTACTTATCATATATTTAGATGATTCATAGTTTTAAATTTTATAGCTGTTTACATTCTTTCCAAATAGGATGAAGTAGAACATGATATTTTTGTTTATAATGTTGAGGTGCAGAAATTGTTATTGAAAGCTGATTTAATTTTTTTATTGTGTTATATAATATTTAACTTTTTAAATTAATTATATTGAGTGCTATTTGCTCTCATTTGTTAATTAGAAGGAAGATATCGATTCAGAAGATGACAAAACCCCCGAAGAAAAGTATGTTGATGAGATTGCCAAAGCAATTCCCCAAGGAACTGATAAAACTCCTGAAGTTTTAGACACAGCTTTGAAAGGCTTCTCCGCAAGGTAATGTTTTTTATTGTGAGAAACATTTATTTTTGCTTTGGTACAAATATTACACAATTTGCGAGTGCCATTAGTAAGATAAATTTTAGGATACAAGTTGCAATGTTTTTTGTTAAAACATTTCAATTCAATGGCCATGGAGAGTTGTATTTGCATTTATAAAGATATACATTCCCTTTTGGAAACATGCGAACATCTCTCGTAAGCATTTAGTTTTACTACCAAGAAATGTCAATTCAAAATATTTTTAAACTGTCGTATGGGAGTTTTAAGAGTGTTATGTTTTAATGTTAGTTTTTTTTATAATCATGTTACAATATTTTATAGTTATAAAATTTGGTATCAGTTGTGAAATAAAAATATAATGCGATGCCTACAAATATTTGTAATATCGTCTGTGTATATTGAAAGAAATTGTAGTAAATTTAACTAATCTTGTAACCTTGGTAATTGTTTTTAGAGGGTGCCAGTCTCTGGCGTAGAGACAATTTTTTTTCTTATGAAAGGTAGACATCAATTGAACATGCAGTTTAATGTTTAAAAATCTCAGTGTAAATGTTGGTACTAAAAACCCCAAATAAGTAAGTGAGAAAGAAAAATTAATAAGAAATGACCACATACTTGAAAGAACAAACATTAGATAATTGTTTTGATCAGACAAGCTTTGCAAGAAACTCTATTAAGTAAACATACCAAAATAATGCATCAGTGCATGATTAAAGCAGACGGGCATGAAAAAGGCATATAGTCATAAGATATAAGAATCAATAATACTAATGTAGTAGAAAGTGGCAACATGTTTGCATTTTTTAGAGTTTTTTGTTGGTTTTTACTTAACACTCTTCAATCATAATTAGCACTAATTCAAAAAGTGTTGGAGTTATTACTTGAAGAATAATTATTGGAGATCAGAAGTGGGCTAGCCTGCCATTTGCAAAGCGTTCAAGCCTGCCACAAATAATATAATCAATGCAGCCAGGGAGAGGGGAATGATATAGGGTGATCTTACATCCAGTTTTGAACGTAAAAAATTCTGTTCATTCCGTTATGCCTTGGCCTTCCTGTCTTTCATGATTTTTGTCTCATTTTATGGAAATGTATCTCATTTACTGCAAAAGAGTGTTTGAGCACCAGATTCCAACAAAATGTGTAATTCTAAGATAACCGAAGACATGGAATAGTATACATATATCTGAAAGATGGCAACAGAATTTTTCAAAAATGAGAGAAAAGCAACCAGAATTTAAGACTTTTGTAATAGTTTTTAAGTTCATCCTGTGTCTTTCAGGAAGTACTGTACCTATTGAAAAAATGTTCTGTGATGAATAGTATGTAGTCTAAGGAAAAATGAGGATTAAGTGTTGAGACAAAGAGGAGTATTCTAATTGTGAAGCAAAATTTTGGTCTGGATTGTGAGAAACTATATTATAAATTTTAAATAAAACAAGTTTGCTTTGTAAATTTCATCCTCACAGAAGTATTTGTAGAATGTGATGAAGTACAGTTCCCTTCTACTTTGATTTACTATCTATTTGTATGTATGTATGTATATATATGTATTCATATACATACTTAAACATATACATGTATGTTTATATTTCATGTTGTATTATTGAAGTTGAAATTTTAAATTACAATATACTTTATTGGGTACCTTGCAATGTATCTCTACAGGTACAATGATTTAAATTCATTCTAGAATTAATTTCATTGACTTCCATACATCAATTTTAGGCACATAATTCTCAAATACTATTTAAAATACGGATTCATAACAATAAATATACAATGAGGCGGAAATAATTATATTTATGGGACAAAGTACTGGAGAAATCCTTCAGTCAGCCATCTCGCACCAAAATGGGGTTTGTTTCTTCTCTTGCACTTAATCACTTCATTTAGTCATTCGCAACACTGCATTATGTACTTTAAAGATATAAATAAGACACACCGCAAAATCAAAGCGATTTCCTTATTATAATAATAAATATTTCATCACAAAATCTATGTATTCCACAAGATATGTTTCCAAGGTAAGGGTGAATATGGTTCCATGATTAAATGTACTTGTATTTATCACAGAATGTACATTTAATCTGTCACATTTTTGCAATCCCCATGTTCAGGTTTTGCCACAAGAAAATTGGTCAGCCTATTATGAAGTAATTTGATCAGTGCAACAAAAACAAAAAGATGGATTACTAATTTTTTTATTATCCCTAATAGTATTTTCAGAGGTGAGTTACTAATGTTTTTGCAAAGGGAAAAAGGCAGCATTTGCCAAATATTTAGTGCTTATTCAATGTGTTGGCTAAATTACCTCAAATAACACATAATTTCCTGGTATTTTTACAACTTCAATTTAATCACAACAAACACATACACACCAATGTCTTCAGTAAAATAAACTTACAGTGAAACAAAAACTTGTTTTGCGACATAGCTACATGTTACAAACTTTTTACTTCATTACTCAAAATAATATCATAAATGAAAATTTATGTTACTTTTAATAATTATACGAGTTTCAAATCTTAAATTGCGTATGTGGAAAAGAGGGCTTGAGATTCTTAGATATATAATGTACTGCCAATTTTATGTACATAGGCGTTGGAAAAAGAATCTTTAGATAAATTGCATGCCCTATGTACTATTCATTTAGTGTACGAAAACCCACTGAAATGTCAGATAGCATCTGGTGCAAATGATGGTATAATAGCACAAGGTTTCTTTACTTACACTCAAAATCATTCATCAAACAATATCAACTTATGTTAGAGCAATGTAATTTAACTTTAAATGGAAGTTGCATCTCATTTCTGTAAATTATTGAAAATTTTTTAACTTCCATTATGGCAATAAAATGTTTTCAATTTATATTTACAAAATCTAAATAAAGAACATTGATAACAAAACATAAAATAATACTCTCTTATCTATTTTTATTGAAAAAAATTTACAATTAGTTAATAAAATATTTACCCAAATACATTAAAAAAAGTTGTTTTTCAATTTCTGTTATGAAAATTCTACATTTATTGATCATGTAAAAATGAAAATTATTTAGGGAAATCTTTTAATAATTTACATTTCATTAAATGAACATGAGTTTTGCATGAACTCGAAACTTAAAGATACTGAAATATGTATATATTGAATCTAATTTTGTATATTTTAACTTCACATATTGATACTGAGTTAGAAATATGTTGTAATTTCATACACATTTATCAATGATTTACCATATCACTATTCATTTGTTTCCAATTCAAAATAGAAGTTTGAATTTAGCTTTTGTCATGTTACCAGTAACAGTATAGAGGCACAACACAACACCTTGCTAATTGCATTATGCATCCAATGTGCCCAACTAAACCTCTAAAAGGAATAAATTACTAGTAGGGAATGCCTGTGAAAAAGTTGTGTTCATTAATTCAAACCCTTTTATAATACGAAATAACATATATAATACAATCCATTTCCTAGGGTTGTTTCCACTGAAAATAAAAATGATTTGAAAACAAAAATGAGTAGTTCTAAATTTTAGAGGTTTCCCTTTAAAGATCAAAAATGTGATATTAAATTTCATCAGACAATTTACGACTTGATACTGAGCCAGTTTGTTGCTATAGATCTTGCCCATCCAATCAATTATACATCTCCTGGCTAATTATAACAACGATGTTGCCCAGCCACTTTGTTTGATGATTTAAAATTTATTTTTTATTACCTCCTTGTCGAGGTTGTGAGCTCTTTGCAAGTTGTGTCTAGTAGGAGCAATGCTTAGATGTTAAGACTTCACCCTACAATTTAGATCGGGTGGGATTGAATGTAACTGTCATTCAATGAATATTGAAAAGCAAAATTTATTGGGATCACTATCAGTGTACATTTAATGAAAATCAAAAATAATTTTTGTGAAAAACAAAATTATTAAAAATATTAAATTTAAAACACAATCATACATTTGTGCAAAATAATAAATAAAAAGATATCAAAGACATAACTAATATTCATTGGTTTATCTTAGTAATAAATAAATTGGAATTAAAATGAGAAGGAATGAACACAATACAAAAAATAAATTTAAACCACAATATATCTCCCATTTATATTGTTATATTATGCTCATTACTTTCCGTTTTAATTTACTTCTGATTTATTTCTCACTTTTATAATATTTCAGAATTAATTTTACTTATATCTTACTAATGTAGCAAGTTTTCTGTCCTTTTATTCTTTGTATGAAATTATATGTTATACTTTATATAAAATATAATTATGCAATTTATATTTTGTTAAATAATTTTGTATCAGATCTGTAGATGGGTAAGCTGTTGAAAGCTGATAATCTAATGAATAACAACGTTCGTTGAAACATTAAAATTTATTTCAACTATCATGGCTTTTCCCATTTAAATTATTGTATCAATATTTTAGGAAGATTGAAATAGCTTATTTAAATGCTAGTGTCTATTGCATTCTAACCAAAACCAATACTAAGAAAAGTAGATTCAAAAGCCTCCTGGAAGCTAAGATTTCTGCATCTCGTAAATAGATTTAGAAGAATGGTGAAAATATTCTTGTGACAAAACAACAGACACATTAGAAAGAAGCTCAAGACAAAGAATACAAGAGGACGCAAAAGAAATGGCCAATTCACATCTGTACATGGTAGAAGAAAGATTGCCAAAAGTTGCCAAAAAATAGATATAAGCCAATTCAGTGATATGACATTGGAAGGCCAAAGAATTAAATCATCCTTCATTCATTTTGTTGCAGATATTTTGTAAATATACATTCCCGCCTGAGATGTGGCATAATATTCTAGAGGATCATATCATATAGTACCCAGACTTTTAGATTGCAGAAAAAAAAATACGAATAATAAGCAAATTTCATCCACAAAAGAAAAATTCAATCAAACTTGTCTTAATTTGTAATTGAGATTAAACAAAATACAACCTGCGTCCCAAGGTGGTGTAATTACCGCATTGCTC